CTGACGTTTCGGGCCTAGACCCTTCTTCAGAATTTCTGAAAGGCCTAGGCTGAAACGTCAGCCTTCCTGCTCCTCTGATGCTGCTTGGCCTGCTGTGTTCATCCAACTCTACACCTTGTTATCTCAGATTCTCCAGCATCTGCAGTTCCTACTATCTCTGTACCCTTGAGTTGGTGAGATTTGGATCTGGACAGTCAGAGGTACAATCTCATTTACTTGTTGGTACATGTTGACCAATCTGCTTGGTTTCTGAAGTCTCTTTAGTTCATTCTGTCAATGTTTTCTTGGGTTACAGGTATACAAGGAGACAGAGTCAGTGAGAGTTATAATTGTTATCATGGCACTGGAAGAAGAAGGAAACGTTACTGTAGTTGTCCGAATACGACCGCAGAATCAACAAGAACAGGAACATGATAACCAGGCAGTTGTGGAAGTAGTTGATGAAAATGTTCTGGTCTTTGATCCAAAGGAAGACGCAAATGATGATATGTTTTCTGGAGCTAAATTCAGAAACCGAGAAATTCCACGTCGGAAAAACAAGGATCTGAAGTTTGTGTTTGATAGAGTTTTCAATGTAACCTCTACACAGCAAGAGGTATTTGAGTTCACAACAAAACCTATTTTGGATGGTGTTTTGAATGGATATAATTGCTCAGGTAAGAGTTAAAGCTGAAAACTCAAAGTCAAAAGTCAATGTACAGATGTGTATGTGCATTTACAACCTAAGCAGCTCCCTTGTGCTAACCTTTTGAAATTCATTTAAACCACAGCAGAAGCCCAGATATACATGACTGGTGACAGAAACCTTTGATGTAGCCAATTTGCAAAAATGTTTGAGTAACAACATTGTATCTGCCCTGCTGAACTGTAAACAGTTGTTTTCATGTATGTATTGCCTTTACTGTAGTCTAGATGTGAGAATTCCCCAAACCAATAAATAAATTGTTTAGGCCAGAATATTTTAAATCTTGAGGCAGACATGCATTGAAGCCATTGATTAGATGTCAGAAATAAAGATATGTCATTCCACTGTGCTATTTTAATCCCCATATTAACTGCCTCTTCTAGACACTGCTTTGTGAGCTTTTGTTGCCGCTTGAGACTACACACTAAGCAAGTTCTGATGTGATGCTGTGTGGCCTGGTTTAATTCAAAGTACTACCAGTTACTTGCAACAGGCTTATAATTCATCCTCTGAATCAAGGCTGAATATCCTACGGGTGGGAGCATTTTTGTAAAACAAAGGAAAATATTGAAAGGATAAAATGAGTATTGCTGAGCAGTCTATGTAGTGCTTATATCATTCTGCATGTTATCAGAATGAGACAAAATAAACTACCATAAATGTAAGTGCAATGTCAATGGTAAAGTTTAAGGAACACAGTACCAGAGTTTTTAGCTTCTGTATTTCATGGTAAAATGAATTTGATATGTTCAATTTTTTTTTTTCATTTTTCTTGCATTATGATGTAAGTTCTTACTTCCCAGATTTTCAATTGACGTTCTCTTCCTTCATTCTGCACTCTTTCCTCTTCCCTTTTTCTATTCTTCCTTGCCCCTCTGTTTTTCCTCTCTTATCAAGAAGCTTAACTTGTACAATAGTAAAATACTTTGGATGCTGGAAATCTGCAATAAATACAGAAAATTGGGAAATATTCAGCAGGTTTGGTAGCACCTTTGCATAGAGAAACAGAATTAATGTTTCAGGTCAGTAACCTGTCATCAGAACCAGTTCTGTTTCTTTATCCGTAGATGCTGTCAGATCTGCTAAGCTGTTCCAGCATTTCTGTCTATGTTAAAACATAGGTTTGCCATGTATTCCACCCACTTAAGTAAGTGCCAGTTTTAAATCTCCTAAGTAGCCAGAAAGGCTAGAATTGTACATCAGGGAATTTAACAGAATAGAAAGGCCTTCAGAAAACAAAAATGCCTTTAAAATTGAGCTCAAACTAAATCTGGTTAATGTTGCTTAAATTTACTAATGATTGTGTTAATACAGCCTGTCAATGATCAACAGCATAAATATGTTTACAATTAACGCTGGAATGTTGAACTGTAATCATTGTTAACCCTTTACAGGATTGCCTGTTTTATACTTACAATCATGAACAACATTGTTATTCATCCACTGTTGTAAGTACACAGACAGTACACAGCCAGTCACTTGAATATTTTTGAGCTTCTGCTATTTGGTATCTCATTTCTAAGTAGATTTAAGTTCATTCTTGCTTACTAGTTACTATAATTCCCATCTGCAATGGCTTAGTGGATATAATTTGTTGAAGATTTATAGAACAGTTATCCACTACTTGTGGTTAGGTTCAAAAAGTTTGAACTTGAAAATATTAGTCAAAGTGGTTACTTGTGGCTCACATTCTTGAGGCACTAGTGAAAAATAATCACTAGTGCATTCTTTCTCCATTTCTTGAGGAATCATCCACATTGTGGAGTTCATGTGTAGACTGTAGAAGAGAGTCGTTCTGAGCATAAATGCAAGGTTTAGGGGTAATTAATTCAAATTATACTATTTGGCCTTTCCAGAAATGGTACAATTTGTATTGATCATGTTGACCAGATATATGTGCCTTGATAAAATGTGGAGCTGGAGAAGCACAGCAGGTCAGACGACATCAGAAGAGCAGGAAAGTTGACGTTTTGGGTCTGGACGTTGGTAGGTTTAAGACCTGATGAAGGGTCCAGACCTGAAACATCGACTTTCCTGCTCCTCCGATGCTGTCTGATCTGCTGCTCTTCTCCAGCTCCACGTTTTATCAACTCTGACTTCCAACATCTGCAGTCACTAATAACTCCTATATGTGTCTTGATGTTGGTTGCCTATTAATCTCTTTATTGTAACTCCTTATTGACTGCAGAGAAGTGTGGTTGATGTTTGGGACTCTCTTCCACAAGTGGCATTGGATACTGGATCAGTTGTTAATTTTAAATCTGAGATAGATAAAATTTTATTAAGCAAAGATATCAAGGGACATGGGCCAAAGCATGTTGGGCCACAGATCAGCCACAATCTCGTTGAATAGTGGAACCGGCTCGAAGGGGTGAATGGCCTGCTCCTATTCCTATGTTCTTAAGTTGACCTTTTTGTGGAATGTATTCAGAACCAGATGTTATGCTGGACTTGCATTAGTTGAATATTTAAGAATTTCATGGAGTAATTTTATAAGTATGTTGTGATTAGATGTAATAGTGTGGGTCAGTGAACCATGCTCTTTCCTCTGATTCAAAATGTTTCGAGCCTCACTTTCATATCTATGCCGACACTTCAATGCAGTACTGAGATAGTGGAGCTCTGCTGTCATTCAGATAAGATGTTTGAAGCCCTCTAAAGTGGATCCAAAAGAACCAAACCTTTATTTGTAGGATAAAAGGCAGTTCTCTCTAGTGCACTGGTCAATATTCATTTATCACCCAGCATCATTATGAAAAATTATCTTGTTATTTTTCATAGAATATACAGCCATTTGGCCAAAAGGTTCATCTTGGAATTTATGCTTGACTTGAACTCCCCACTAGCCTTCCTCCATTTAACAATCAGCAGACCTCTTTATTCCCTTCTGCCTCATCTACTTACCTCGCTTTATTTATTTACCGCACTGTTATTTGTGTGACCTTGCCGGGTGCAAATTGTCTGTTACATATGTTGTATTTGTTCATGGGATATAGGTATTGTTGGCTAGGCCAGCATTTATTGCCCATCACTGATTGCCCTGGAGAAGATGGTGGTGAGCTGTTGTAGTGCTTGGAATGTGGGACACCCAAGGTGATGTTAGTGAGGGAGTTCTAGGATTATGACCCAGTGACAATGAAGGAACAGTGATTATATTTCCAAGTCAGGATGGTGTGTGGCTTGGATGTTAAATTTCAGGTGATGTTCCCATGCATCTGCAGCTCTTGTCCATCTAACAGGTTGAGGTATTGGGTTTGGAAGGTCCTGTTGAGAAGCCAATGTGAGTTACTGCAATGCATCTTGTAAATGGTGTACACTGCTGCCACTGCATTGGTAGTGGAGGGAATGAAAGTTATATGTGATGGAGGAGGTGCCAATCAAGTGGGATGCTTTGTTGTTCTTTGTTCCCCACTTCTGATATCATGGAGGAGTGCAGATCATTGATAAAATGGCTGCAGATGGCTGGGGCTAGGATACAACCCTGAGAAACTCCTGCAAGAATCACTTTCATTTAGGGCAATCATTCACCTCAGCTGTGGAATTTAGCTTTTTGTCCATGCATTGAGATCAGGATCTGAGTGGTTCTGGTGGAACCTAAACTGAGCATCATTGAACAGGTTATTCCATTGTAAGTGTCACTTGATAGCAATGTCATTGACCCCTTCCATTGCTTTGCTGATGATCGAATGTAGACTGATGAAGTGGTAATTGGCTTGGTTGGATTTGTCTGTCTTTTTGTGTACAGGACATACCTGATTAATTTTCCAAATTATCAGGTAGATGCCAGTGTTGGAGCTGTAATATAAGAGGTTAGTTAGGAGGCACAGCTACTTCTGGAACATGTGTTCAGGACTGTTGCCGAAGTGTTTTCAGGGCCCATGGCCTTTGAAGTATCCGGCTGGTTCAACCATCTTTTGCTATCAGGCTGATTGAAGTGGCTGAGGATTGGCACCTATGATGCTGATGAGCTTTGGAGGAGACAGGACCTCATTCCACAGCAACTATGTGGTGGTCATTGCCACTGATAATGTAATGGACAGATATATCTGCAGCAGGTAAATTGGTGAAGCTGAGGCCAAATATGTGTTGGTTCCCTCATTGCCTAAAGCATCACCTGTGTGGCAGCCATGTCCTTTACAACTCAGCCTGCTTGGTTATAAGTGTTAATACTGTTTCGATGTGAGCTGTTGCAATTACTTGACAGGTCAGATCCCAAACAGGAATGTATGAAGGATCATATTTTTATTTGTTTTGGTTTTAGTGAAGCAGTCTCCTGGTGAAACATAAGTATTCAATGTTACAGAGTTTGCTTTAATCTAAAAACGGAAGTTTATTATACAAAGAAAAAGAAAATAGAATGATCCAAACCATTTATTTATAATAAAAATTCAAAAATTTTAAATACACAGTAAAAGTAAAATCCCATTAATCCCAAAACCCCTTTATAAATTGAAAAGAAACAAAATAGCTTTTGTATAGTACCCAAAACACCAATGGTATAGTACTCAAAACACCACTTGTATAATATTCACAGCAGCATTCCTGTACCTAAAACCTTGGTAGGTTTAAGTCACTTGTGACTTCAACTTTCAGACTGGAACTGCAGCTGGCTTCTTCCTGGAGCTATCATATGTCAGAGCTTCAGTGTACTCAGTTTTAAATAACCTCTCAGAATCTTATCCTAATTCATCTGGTCTGGGACTAGCACTGACTCATCACTGTAGGGTAATCTAGTTCACTATATGTCCTTCCCTTCTCAGAAGCACTTTTCTACATGGCCATCCTATTCAAGGGCCTTGATAGGACTGCTCCACTCAAAAAGTCAAAAGTCAGACTAAAAGTCTTCCTGATTCAGCTATGTGTATTTCTCCTAGGCTTCAACAAGTTCAATAACTAACAAAATTAACAAACCAAGAGTCTTCATTATTTACCATGCTGGGTTGTGAACAATCCAAAATGAACACAAATCTATTACTACTGCACAAAACCCATTCACTCTAAAGCCAGACCTCAAGACTATTCTAAAAGTAAATAATAATGGCTACAGAAATACTTGGAAGATAATTATTAACTTAAGAGACACAGAGATCCCACTGGTCACATGTACATATGTATATGTTAAAGAAAATATAAATCTCACAGTTTACATTACAATACAAACGACTCTCGATGATGGACAATCAAGGTCCCCCACCGAGATTACTGTCTGTGCCCTTGCCATCCTCCAAGTGATATTGAGCATGAAGGAGTACTAATTCATTAGCCTGAGGAGGGAGTGGTGGATGTTCAGTAGATGGTAATGAGGCGATTTCCTTGTCCATGTTTGACCTGATGTCATGAGACTATATGCAGTCCAGAATCAATGCTGAGAACCAAAGGGTAGTGCCGTGTTCACTGTATACAACGGTGCCGCCACCTCAGATGAGTCTGCCAGTGGGACAGGAAATACCCAGGGATGTGATATTGATGCTTGGGTCATATGGTCATATTCACAGAATTGTATCTAGGAGATAATGTCAGAATTTTGATGCACAAGACCATGGAACAGCTGTCCCAATTTTGTTACAAATCGCTAGATGTTAATAAGGAGAGCTAAGATTTTCCTACATTACAATTTGGAAAAAAATACCTAATTGGCTATAAAGCACGTTAGAGTACCCTGAGTTCATGAAAGGCAAAACGTATAAAAGTTAGTGTTTTATTCACTCATTACCCTTCAGCCCCTTTTGCAACCTGACCTATCCCCCACGTATCAACAGAAAGGCAAAGAAATCTTCTACAGATATCTGCCCATAACTAGATTTTACATTATCTTTGCATAAAAGTATAAGGTGAAGATGAAAGATTCTCATTTGGCAGAGCTAAATTACTTTTCATCACATTACCTTTTCTTTTCCTGTTTATACAGGAGCAATGAGATAAAGGGTCATTTGATTGTTGATAAGGGGTTTCCACTGAGAGAATTTCTTATATACTGTGCATTTTATTTTCCAGTCTTTGCTTATGGTGCAACAGGATCTGGGAAGACCCATACAATGTTGGGTAGTGTTGATCAGCCTGGAGTGATGTATCACACGATGGTGGAACTGTATGAGAGAATCGAACAGATGAAAGATGAGAAAATTTGTGAAGTTGCTGTTTCATATTTGGAGGTGAGGAGACAAGTGATTTTTTTTTCAGGAAATTTCATGTGAGAACTATATGGACAGTGTTTCTGAATCTTATTTAACATTGCTTTCCTTTTTATGCGGATCAACATTTTACAACAATATATATTTATACCTTACTTTTAACATAAGTGCCCCAGACAGCTGCACAGAAGCAATATTAAACAAAATCACAAAAGGAAATATTGGGTTAGCTGCCTAAAGCTTAGACAAAGAGATACACTTTAAGGAGCCTCTTAAAGAGGGAAGGCAAGGTTCTAGAAGGGAAATCCAGAGCTTCCAGCCTAATCAACTGAAGGCCTGGTCATCCATGGTGGGGAATTATAGTTTCAATTTAAAGATCTTCAACCGTCCTACCAGCAAAAAGTTGATTAATACAATATTGTAAATTTCCCCAAAATGTAACTCTGTGTGGTGGTGAAGTCACAATGGAGTGTAATCAGCTATTGATTCACTGTACTCCCAACTCAAACTAACGAGTGCATGCCTGGTATTTGAAAGGAGTAAATGTGTGTGAAGGGTCTATAAATTATGGTGGCTATGAGAAGAAGCTGGTTGCAGGTAGGTTTATTACTGGTTCATGTCGATTATTGGAAAAGTAAAGAGCACTGGTTAAGACTGATGGCAAGGGATAATCCCTAGTAAAGTCAGTGTGTGGGTTAAATGTTCAGCAGAGATTATGGACGTTTGCAAGGGCGGGTCATTTGTGCTTGAAACTGGCCATTTCTTTCCCGTAGTCTTCGGGCTTTTCTTGGTCCACACATATTTTTGGTTTTTTTTTGACCTTCAGGCCAGAACTGAACACTGATCGCCATCAAAACTCAGTTTCTATAAATAAAGATTCCATTTAGTTCAGGCAACATGTATCAATAATTTTTATTTTCCCGATGGTATGAAGCATGACGGATTAACTGTCCAGCAATTTGTTTCTACCTCGTAACCGAACTAAATGTTCTAAACTAATGGTTGCATCACAGTGGTTGCACGGTTGCACTCAAATTGAAGCACTAACAATTCGGAGAACATTGTCTGTTGCCATTGACTGTGATGTCAACTGTTGCCTAAATGTCTGAGCCAAATGGAATCAATTAAAACTTCCAGTTGTGTTTCTTTTCAAATGGATATCTGAAAATAACAAAAAATAATCTTATTCTTGGGATGCAGGTGATGATCAGAAACCATTCAAGTTTTGTGCTGTCAGGTCTTCTGGACTTCTCTGAGATTGCTAACTTGGAAGCCCTTTTGAGTATTCTTGTAGCCCCAAGATTGTTATCCATCAAAGTTTCACACAGTGGTCCATTCAAACTGCTTCACACAAATGGGGTTGTAGGAGGATGAGTTGAATGGAATTCAGCAGTGCTCTATAAATATAATGTCCAACATAACAATTTTAGCTGTTGAATGCTTGCAGACCACTGATATAACTTAGAATGTGTATGAAATAATAATCTTTTCTGTCAGAGTTTAGTGTTTGTCTTTGCACAATTACAATGTGTTGGGTGAATCTCCTCAAGTTTGAAATGCTGTGAACTATTAATTTTTTTAACATGTAATACTACTTCTATAAATTCTGGAGAATAGCTACCAGAGAAATATGGAATTTTAAATGCAGGAAGCTACCCTGGTAGGGAATGATTTGAAGAAACTATAAGTTTTCTAAATTGATCTTGGAGTAATATTAACCAGATATTCCACTTGGATTCATATACTATAGTGCTGGTTAACATTTTCCTGTGTAATGCCTTAAGCAGTGTCGCCATTGTATTTATCATTAAGAAACATTAACTATGTTCTTTCATTGTCAGAGTAATCAGAAACTTTGCAGCCCATTTGAAATTACATTGCTGTATTGCTGTGAGAGAGAAAGTGAAACAAGATGTGCAGCGTTTAGCCATATTTTGTGAGATAAATCTGCTTCAGATTCTGAGATTAGCCAGCTATTACTAAATAATATTTCTAAATATTAAAGTAGTGTGTGTAATGTTGTGACATAATGGCATATTTGTTTAGACCTTTTGCCTTTGGGCATTTACAATTTACAATCACATCAATTGGCACTGCTAGCTCTGGACAAAAACATAATCATCTTTCAAAGTGGAGAGAAAATTGGAGCAAATTTGGGAAGGGATAAGTAGAAACTGGAGAAATAGAGTGTAAAGGACTTCGAGTCCTTTATATCAGAACAGAAACAGAAGAGCTGGAATTAAGTCAAACTCATCGCAGATAATCAAGGAAGTAAATACAGTGCTTAACAGCTGAGCAAGCCCAGTGAACGTGTATCTTGCGATTCTTGATTTTTGACTCTTGTTCTTGACTTTGTTCTGAGATTTAAATGAATCGGGCTCTTGTATTCCAGTGCATTGTGGCTAGGCGCTGAGTCCATGTTTTCTTATCTGACTTACAACTAATTTATGCAGCACTTTTAATGTAGTAAAATGTTCCAAAAGCACTTCATAAAGGCAATAACATTTTCAGCCTCCTGAGCCACCCCCTCCATCTTAGCTCATTTCTGATTTCTTCATTGTGCTTAGAGGCTTGTCTTCAGTAATTGTAACTTCCTCTGAGAAGAAGAAAGTGGGAAGTAGTGATATGTATTCACCTTCATAATAGAATCCCTACAGTGTGGAAACAGGCCATTCAGCCCAACAAGTCCACACCGACTCTCTGAAGAGCATCTCACCCAGACTAAGGCCCCTACCCTATCCCTGTAACCCTGCATTTCCCTCAGCTAAACCACCTAACCTACACATCCCTGGATACTATGGGCAATTTAGCATGGCCAATCCACCTAACCTGCACATGTATGGAATTTGGGAGGAAACCAGAGCACCCAGAGGAAACCCACACAGACACAGGGAGAATGTGCTAACTCCACATAGATAGTCGCCTGGGGCTGGAATTGATCCTGCGTCCCTGGCACTGTGAGGCAGCAGAGGTAACCACTGAACCACCGTGTCGCCCCAGAGGTTTTAGGATACAATTCATAGTAGACTGACAGGGAACAGGAGAAGACCATTCAGACCTTCACACACGTGTCACCTCAGTTGTGTAAACTTGGCCAGTGTATCATTATGGGATACTTATTTCAGATATATGAAGCTTTGGGAAGCAGAAAGCTGATCAAAATGCAATGGGCAGAATAGGGCCGTTACCGAGGAACACTGCTCGGGGGGGGTGAGTGGACATGACACGCACTTGCAGCGAATTGGAACTCTCAAACGAACAGAGGATGGTTTTGATTCATTGAGCCTTATCTGTGGATAAATACCTTCAATCCTCTCCAGGCGAGCAGCCCATCCAAGTTCCTGGGCTCCCAGGGAGCGAGCCGCGCCGCTTCGCACCATAAAGGTTCTGTTCCAGTGTTCGATCCACAGGCAATCTAGGGGACACCAAACAGTGAACCCCAACACAATTTCACCGTATCAAGTCTTTACACAATGCAAGCTCATTGGTTCATGGCTGCACATCTCCACTCTCAGTCAAATGTGTTCGTGCACTTCGTGACATTGTTATCTTAGACCTAGATTAAAATTGTCTAATGAAAGGAATCCCAAATATATCAGATTGCCCAGGAAAGCCATCTTGTTGAAAAGACCTTTGGAGATGAGAAGTGCAATTTCTTTTCTCCATGTTTTTTGATGCCCTCTGAAAGGGCAACTCTCAATATGGTCATTGAGAATTGTGCTGGTTTAGTATGTCACTCGGTAAGAAATACTGATGGACAGTCTGGGCAATAAATGTTACTGGGGCAGTCATAGTCACAGGCAAGCTGTGTACTCCTCTGACTTGACATTGCTGTAACAGTAAGAATCAATATAATTCATTAGCAGTTGTAAAAGATGCTCATGTTTTACACCAATTATTGCATTGCCAGGTGTACAATGAACAGATTCAAGATCTGCTTGATCCTAAAGGCTCACTAGCTGTAAGAGAGGATCCTCAGAAAGGAACGGTTGTCCAGAGACTAAGCTTTCATCAGGTAGGAGTTGCAGTAATGTTTATATGTACCCTGATTTTTTTTTTAAATCACTTCATTACATTACTGTTAGTTGTTATCAATATAGGTATTAAGAAGCCATGTTTGACATTTACAAATAAATAAGGAAAATTATAATTTATCGCTGGGTCAGTCTTAAAGTGGAAAGAATAGGCTCTTGCATGCAAAGTTTAACCATATTCAGGAAATATGTTACAAGATAGTGCCTTACATGGTGAAATATTGAATATTTTTACATTTTTAGAAGATTATAAAATTCACTAGTGTGAACTTTTTTGGTCCAAAGGCCCCTTTCTATGCTGCAAATACTTATTTATATATTGCAAGTATTTGAATGTGAGAAGCAGGAGTCTGACCTCAATAATCATGAAGTGCTTCGAGAAGCTGGTCATGGCCCATTATCAACTCCAGTCTCCCAGCCTGTCTCAATCCCCTACAATTTACCTACCGACGTAACAGGTCCACAGAGAATGCCATATCCTTAGCCCTGCACTCATCCCTGAAATATCTGGACATCAATGACATCTATGTCAGACTCCTGCTTGTTGACTACAGCTCCGCCTTCAATACCATTAACCCCTCCAGACTGATCTCAAAACTCCATGACCTTAGTCTTGGCTCCACCCTATGCAACTGGATCTTCCGCTTTCTGACCCACAGGCCACAGTCAGTGAAGATAGGTAACTGCACCTCCTCCACAATAACTCTCAACACTGGAACCACCCCCTGCGCCCCCACCCCACCCAAAAAAAAAGCTGCATCCTCAACGCCCTACTGTACTTCCTTTACACCTATGACTGTGTTGCCAAATTCTGAACAAATGCCATCTACAAGTTTGCTGACAACACCACCGTAGTGGGATGGTTATCTAACAATGACAAGTTAAACTACAGAAAGGAGACAGAGGGCTTGGTGACGTGGTGAAATGAAAACAATCTGTCTCTCAATGTCAGCAAAACTAAAGAACTGATCGTTGACTTCAGAAAGAAAGGAGGAGAACATGCCCCTATCTACATCAACAGAACTGAGGTTGAGAGGGCGGACAGCATCAGGTTCCTCGGAGTAATGATAACTGGCAACCTGTCTTGGACATATAGATGCAACAGTCAAGAAGGGACAAAAACACCTCTTCTTCCTTAGGCAGCTCAGGAAATTTGGCATTCATAAGGTCTGTCACCAACTTCTACAGATGCACCATTGAAAGCATACTGTCCAGGAGTGTAACGGCCTCATTTGGCAACTGCTCTGCCAAGAACTGTAAGAAACTTACAGAAGGTGGTGCGCACAGCCCAGACCATCACGGAAGCAAACCTTCCCATCCACGGACTCCACTTACACGGCTCGCTGCCGCGGAAAGGCTGCCAACATCATTGAATAGAATAGAATAGAATAGAATCCCTACAGTGTGGAAACAGGCCCTTCGGCCCAACAAGCCCACACCCCAACCCTCAAAGAATCCTACCCAGACCCGTCCCCCTATAACCCACCTAGTCTACACATCCCTGAGCACTACAGGCAATTTAGCATGGCCAATCGACCTAACCTGCACATCTTTGGGCTGTGGGAGGAAACCGGAGCACCCGGAGGAAACCCACGCAGACACGGGGAGAATGTGCAAACTCCACACAGACAGTCGCCCGAAGGTGGAATCGAACCCGGGTCCCTGGCGCTGTGAGGCAGCAGTGCTAACCACTGAGCCACCGTGCCACCCCAAAGACCCTTCACACTCCAGTAATGATCTCCTACAACCTTTTCCGTCAGGCAGAAGATACAGAAGCCTGAACACATGCTCAAGCAGGTCCAGGAAAGGCTTCAGACTAATGAATGGACTCTCTAGCCTTAAATAACGCTGATCTTGCGCCCTGTGCAATGTAACTTGTATGCCTCCGTCTAAGTCTGATTGATCTTCCTATGATCTACCTGTACTGCTCATAAACAAGCTTTTCACTATATTTCGGTACACATGACGTTAAATAAATAAATAAATAAATCCGTCAATCAATTAGATAATCCAAGCTGTCTGACCAGGTGTTTGTCCTTAGAATTTCTGTACATAGAGAATTAGGGAGAGAATTTGTAGTATAGTTTATGGAGCATGCAGGCTGCCTAGAGCATTGGATGAATCAAATCAGGAAGTGGCAATGACCAATATTTAGGAGCAAAAGAGAATTATGGTAGCATTTGGGCTAAGGCGGGAATAGTCTCTACAGCAGTGGTGGGAAAAAATGATGTTTTAGATGAGTGGGGTGTTTAGCTTGGCGTTTATATAAATTGGCCCCATCTAACTATTAATTGAATAAGCTTGCTGGCATTAAATAAGATTGAACCAAATGCTAGTTACAGTAGAACCCACTTCAGCAAGATACAGTTATTCCAGGTAGGCTTTTAGTACATCTGACAGGAACGTGGTGAAAGAATGTTAATTGCTTAGTGAGTTCCAGAGTGAACGCCAACAAGTTCCATTTGCAGTAACGATTGAATAATAAGTTAGGATGTTGATAAGTATATCATTGCTTTGGATGCGTGTTCAGAAAACTGATAGGCTAAGGGTCATAAGTGCCCAGTGAAGTTACATTCAATGACCTAAGGGTTACAAGTTAAATTTGATGACTTCAGTGAATTGTAAAAGTCACAAATGTGACCATATATGGAAAATGAAGTTAATATCCAAAGGGCGAAAAAACTCTTGATATTTGTCACTTCGGGATAACAGGAGACAGCATCCAAACCTTGCTGGCTGTTCCAAGCATGTGAGTCTGTAGTCAACTATTTAATTACTGTTTGTCTTAGATGAGAGTTGAGAGTCATGTTAACTGTCTATTAAGTACATGTGGATTGTCCTTTGATTTAACCAAAATTTTGATTTAACTGATGTCCAATGAGTTAATTTGAACCTTGAGCCTGACACAGTTTGAGAGATTGTGTTTTATGTCATTGACTTGATTTGAAGCAAGTATTGACCTAGATATTTTCACACTTTCCTCATCCTCAAGCCTGTACTTGAGGTAAAGGATGTATGACAGTGTCCTACATTACCTCGATTTTGAAGGTATTACATGGCAGATTTTTATAAAAACCTAACAGGATGCCAAGATTGCAAGCAATCCACTTTATTCTAAAACCTTATCTGGAGAGTGTAGTGGAATGGAGTTTTCGCTGGGGCCTAAACAGAACTGTTGTGGCCTACCCAATATTTTAAATGGAGGAAATCATGGCTGACCAAAGACAGAATGAAACACACTGGAAACTCAAAAGTATTGGAATAGTAGAGAGATTGGACTGGGTGTTATCAGTGTACTTGTGAGGTTGACCCCATGACTTTAGGTGATGCCACAATGGCAACAGAGAAAGGGGAGGAGACCAAATATTGATTCTCGATGGTCTCTGTAGATGTTGGTACAGGGGTAAGAAGAGAATTTGTGGCCATAGCACCTCTGGCAATAATCAAAGAGGTAAGCCTGGAACCAAGTAAGAGAGGTCCAACTGAGCTGGACAGTTGTGGAGAAACATTGATCAGCTGCACCAAAGGCTGCAACAGTTGAAGATAAATCTCTCGTATGGACAGCCTCAGACAGTGTCATTTTGTTTTTTTTTTCAATTTGAATCATTCAGAGCTATTACAAGAATAGGACTTGATTGGAGAAATTTAATTATGGAGTTGCAGGAACGGGTGACGTGAATTTGTCAGTGTTGAGACTTTCAAATACTTTGCAGCCAGAAAGAAGGTAAATGTGAGTTTTCTTAAGTGGAGGAAGGTTGCGAGTAAATTTTAGAAAGATGGAAGAGAGTATCTAAGGCAAGGGAATTCTTTAAACACCAGCTAGCTTGGGGATCAAGAAAGAAAATTGAGTGATTGCACTGAGTGAGAATTAGAATAAAATTTGCTGAAGGTGGGCCTTGTCCTCAAGTTGTGTTTGGTGAAGGCATGATTGGAAATGGTATGCAAACTACAGAACGTAAACAAAATATTATCCAGTTTAACGCTAAGCAACACCATGAGAAATAGACAGCTCACTTTCTGAAATGAAATGAACGGTATCAATAGTGATTTAGTTGATAGCATTCTTGACTCATTCACAGGGTTCAAGTCCTACCCTAAGGCTTGAGCACAAAACCAAGACTTGCACTTCATTGCAGTACTAATGGAATGCTGTGTTGTTAGAAGTATTACCTTTTGGAAGCGATGTTAAACTGAGGCTCATTTACCTGCTTGGACACATGTAAACGATAATTACCACTATTTCGTAGAAAGGCAGGGAAGCTATCTTTGGTGTCCTAACCAATATTTATCCCTCAATTAACACTGCAAAAGCAGATAATCTATTTATTAAGACATTACTGTTTGTGGGAGTTCACTCTGAACTTATTGGCCACTGTGTTTCCCACATGACAACATTAACTGCATTTCAAAAAGGTAAATACTCCGCTATAAAGCGCTTTGAGACATCCAGTGGTAGCAAAAGATGCACTATAAATGCAAATCCCATTTTACTAGTGAGCAAATGGAAGGGGAGGAGAGGCAAAATGTCCAACATTTCTACAGAGTTTTGTTTTGAAGTTGTAAAATAAAATAACATAGTGCTGGTACGTTTACTAGTTATTAATATCTATTCCTGAGGCATGAAAGGCTAGCAGCTTTGCACTAAAATTACTTCATAGAATAGTCATTCCCTTAAAGTGTACCAGTGTTTGTTGAGAGAGGAGGTAGAATATTCTATATGACCCAGTAATGTTAAGCCTTGAGGAGCATCTGCTGAATATATGAACAAGCAATGACATATTAAAAATCAGACTTGCTCACAGATACATTTTCATGTGAACTCAAGAATATTTGCAATATTCACAACTGCTGTTAATCCAGGATCTCTCTAACCAACTGTGATGTCTGGTTGGAACCCTACATCTCAAGAATACCCTAAGGACTTTATCTGCCTTTCTACTAACTGCTTTCTTCTTGAGGACACTAGTCCCTTTTAACTTTCTATATGTGTGTGTGTGTGTAGGTGTGCGTGTGAATGCTTGAAGTTGTGTCCATTATTTTTCTCCAGGTTAGCAAAAAAAAATTGGTTTCGCGTTAACTCAGTAACACCAACTGTGTTTTAGTGGGAGTGAGGTGTAGCTCCATGCTAAAGAAAATGAAAATATTTTGTTGTGGCCGATTGAGGAGGGTGAAAGGAGGTGAACTGATTCACCTAATCTCACTTGGTTGTAACACACTTCACAAAAATAAATTTAATTTACTGAATTGAAAAATTGTCTTTCTATAGACTGTTTTCTGTTCTTGCAGCCCAAATCTGCTAAAGAGCTTTTAGAGATGTTGGCAAATGGAAACCTGAACAGGACACAACATCCAACCGATGCAAACGCCACGTCTTCACGATCCCACGCTGTCTTTCAGGTGAAATAAATTGTCAGAACTAAAACCATTCATCTCTTAAAACATTTCTAACTTGCATGTCAACAGGATCTTTAAGAATTTATAGAAGTACATATGCAAATGCTTGACTTACCTCAGACTGGCTGTGATTCCAATTTATTTTATCATCAGCATTCACACTCCCTGGGTTGCTTAACATACATTGTGATTGCTGTTGTTATGACTGGACCAATAAGATCCCAACTAAAATTTTGTTCTATAGATCATGTGTTGTTTTCTTAGGCAGGGTAGATGCTGGTCAAATGTTTGTCCTGGTTGATTAGCCTAGATCCTGATACAAGGGATACCGCTTCGGCCCAAGATTAGGAGAAATTATTTCAGTTGAAAGGATATAAACCTTTGGAATTCTCTAACACTAAGGGCGTTGAAGCTCAGTCTTTAAGTATGCTTAAGGTAGAGATTGATAGATTTCTGATTACCAGTGTTCTATGTATGCCTATAATGCCTTAATGAGGTGGTCTCTTGCTGAAACAGAAACACATGATGTTGCAGATTTGGTTTTAATGTTAAAACTAAAATTTGTCAATCAAAAGAAATTAAGATGAAAAAGAATAGACCAAACTATTTCCATCTAATACACATTTTGTTTAAACACAGTACAAAATATAATCCCATTAATCCCAAAAATCTTTACAGTACTCAAAAACCTCCTTTGTGCAGTACTCTCATAAGAAAATCCCTTTCCCTAATACTTCAATTTCAACTCCCTGTATGAAAATCAGATTGCCTTTTCCTGAAACTATAGTACCCCAAAGTTTAAATGTTCTCCGCTTCAAATAGCGTCTTCAGGGTTCTATCCAAACATTTATGATCTGGGACTATCACTAAATTCCTTACGATAAGATAATCTATTTTTACAATATTTTCCCATTTTCTGGAGCACAGTATTGACGTTCATTCAAAGACTTCTGCAGAATTGCTTCAAAGTGGAAACGCAAAAGCACTTTCTCCCCAAGCTATGCGAGTTTCCCCTTCAGCTATAAAAGAAATGCAGTTGTTTACTTTGCTCAGTCCTAAATCCTCTTAAAGCAAATAAAAACCCATTAATTCTTGTGTACTCTTCACAACTTACTTTCCTACCTGTAATAATAGAAAGTGCTAGAGAAATTCAACAGTTGGAGCAGCACCTGTGGAGAGAGAAACAGCATCAATATTTCTATTCAGTCTTCTGACCTTCTACCTGTCCTTGCACAATTGTATGCATTGTCTTTAAGATTATTACTACCTATAACTTTTTCAGCTATAATTTTCAGATGGTTGGTCCTCCCATTAAGTTTATTCATTCTGTTTGGAATATATCCATTCCATGTATTCTGAAATATTCCCTTACATTTCTATTAATCTCTAAATTGATCATCATGATTGCCATTTTAAAAGTTTAAAATACAATTTTTGGACCCAGTCCTTTCCTCAAACTGAATGTGAAATTCAATCATGTTCTAATCACTGTTTCCTAGGGGTGCCTTTATTATGAATTCATTAATTAATCCTATCTCCTTGCACAGACCTATTAGGTCTGGTATAGCCTGCTATTTGCTTGACTCCAGAATGTGCTGTTCTAAGGAACTTCACAAAAACATTCAATGAATTCCTCTAGATTACATTTGTTCATCTGATTTTTCTAGCCTATATGTAGATTGTAATCCTCCATGACCTTTCTGACAAGCTCCCATTATTCTTCCTTTATACTCCATGCTACTTTATAGTTATTATCAGGGGGCTTGTACACCACTTTCACAAGAGATTCTTGCCTTTATCGTTTCTTGACTGTACCCAAAACACTTCTAAGTTCTGGTTTCCTGAACTTAGTCATCTCTCTTTATTGTGCAATACTATAATTAATTATTAGAGCCATCCTCCCCCTGTTCCTAGCTTTCTGTCACTCCTAATTGTCCTGTACCCTTCAATATTCAAGCTCAGATGGTCATGCCAGGAGCTGGGGAATATCATATGACACCTTAAGAGCAAAGAAAATTTCGTTGTAAATTAAATGTAGGGCTACACTAAAATAAAAGCTTAGTATTAATAATCATTTGACTTTTCATAAATTACATTATGGATTACAGGTCTAAGGGCTGATGGTGTTCATCATAATTGCCAGACTGGGTATGTGAATAATTTTTATATTTTGTGAGCCTTCCTTTGTTTTTCTTGATATAGGTCTATGTGAAGCAACAAGATCGAATTGCCAGCATCAGCAAGAATTTGCGGATTGCTAAGATGTGCTTGATTGATCTTGCTGGATCAGAGCGTGCCAATGCAACAAAGGCTCAAGGAGCACGGTTTAGGGAGGGGGCAAACATAAACCGCTCCCTGCTTGCATTAGGAAATGTAATTAACTCACTGGCAGACAACAAGGTACAGCAGGTCATTTCTTCTAATGGCAAGAGCCACAGTTTTCATGAAATTAGATTTTGGTGAATTCTTTTGGAACACAGGTGCAACACAAATTATAGAAATTATTTTGAAAAATATGGTATTTACACCTTTTATATGGCTTTACAGCAAAAATTATATAGCATTTGCCACCTCCATCCAGAATTCATCAATTCTTTTTCTTGAAGACTGCGCTTTTAGGTGACAGCAGAATTATACTGAATGTTGGCCTTCATTCTTTAGAAAGTAAAATTGCACTAGCAGGTTTATTAATTGTCTAGTTAAATAAATAAGGACACCACAGCAGGATATAATTTGGTTTAACATTTCTACACTGTCCATTTAACTGTCTTTCAAGACACTCAACAAAGATTATCATATTCCCACAGAGGGAGAAAGTTAGTCTATTGTTGCACCTTTTAGTATGCAGTGGAAATGCAGAAATGCAGATATCTGGGAACAGGTCACTTGCATTGTTTTAGCTATGGATGGTACAAATTTACGTGCCAATACTGAATTGTCAGACATGCTCCTTGAATGTAACAGGCCTACAGAGGGAAGGCGTCCTGCCCAGCTGCATTAATTCTTCAAAAAGGACGCTGTTTGCGTGCAGAATTCTTCACTGTTAATGACATGCAGGATATTGTATGGATTTCTTTGTAGAAGTATTCAGTATGAAATTTCAATGAATGTTATTTTTCTTCCTTTCTCAACATAATCAGGCAAAAAGGGCCCATATTCCTTATCGAGATAGTAAGCTGACCCGCCTCCTTAAGGACTCATTAGGGGGAAACTGCCGTACTGTGATGATTGCCACCATTAGCCCTTCAGCCATCAGTTATGAAGATACATACAATACCCTAAAATATGCAAACCGTGCTAAGGATATCAAATCCTCGGTAAGTTTATTCACATAATTTTTTAAAATGTGCAATTGTTATTATTCTGTTTTATCTACCTTTTATGGATCCTTAAATTATTGTATTTATAAAAACAAAGCACCAACATCTGCCTCGCTATGATAAAGAACTATAAAAGTAATTTGTGCTGTTTTCAAATGATGCTTTCATCCTGGCACCAAGCCCAGCATAGACCAAGGACAAGAAGTGAGCTTCAAGAAGCTGGAATGGGATGGTATTCCTGATATTCGATGCAGCAGGATAATATTTGTGGTAACTGCAAATCAGGTTTAAGATTCTGCTCAGTGGAGCAACTCAGTATAAGGTGGGAGCTGCTTCCATCTGACACTGTAGCCTTTTGTTCAAGACTTATGCAGGCCACTGTTTAAAGTATAATTGTTCTAAAGTGGTTACTGTTCATGTTACATTGGCTCTACCCATTTTATGGATGCCACACACAATATCTGGATGGAGATGAGTTGTCCTTGAGCTTTCAGAGGGAACAAATGTGTCTGTACCATCTTCCAAAGATGCTGATAATTATGCCTGACTGACCGTAGTTGTACATATTGGTATCATGCAATTGTGACCTAAGAATAGATACTCTATAGTGGTGTGTCCTCCACCACTAATCAATCAATAAGCTTAAGACAAAGCAAAGACGAAGAAAAATTAATTCAGCAAACTACCCCAAAATCTCTAACCTAGTTTCACATATTGATAGAGGTGTCAAGTACCAGAAAATACCAGGAATGGTCACCTGAGAAAATGCCACCTACCAATTTGTTGAGTTCTGAGAGTTTGCTTTAAAAGTGAATCAAAGCAAATTTGAAACAAAAATTGAGGCACCAAATTCCTTGCGGGTTTTTTTGTGTTAAATCTGGTGAATGAGTATTAGGGAATGGGAACTATGCAGGTGTAGTTGAGACATGCTTTTTTTAAAGTCAGAGTTGAACTTCATTGTAAAGCTTAACTGCTGACCTGAGGCATACTCAATGCTCTTTGGGTGCTTAAGAGATAAAAAAGGATGCTGGCTTTAGCTTTATGATCCATTAGCTTTAACTCAAATGCAAAGCAGATAAGCCATTCCTTATTTTGATGGCACTGGTTTATAATGAACTGAATAAGTGAAATTTTTTAATCTCATGGAGGACTGGAATTTTTACTCTCATTTTGAGGATTTTGATCATAGTCTTTCAACTGCCCATTTTTCCATGAGAACTGCCAGCCAGCAGCTTTGATTGGATTTGTACCCAACCTGCTCTCAAAAGTTTACTGAAAGGTAGGTATAAATACAAAAACAGGGTTAGTTGATTAGATTCTGAAAGAGAAAAGAAGTTGAGCATTTCAGGTAAGTCCAATTCAAAAGCTTCAGTTGTTAGTTAGTACACTTGCAACACTCCCTAAGGCTTTATTCTAAATAAATAACTTTAAAATAAAGATAAAAGACCCAGGTACTGACTTAAGACATCTCTGCAGAATTTACAAATTTTCTCAAATATAAGTCACCAGTTTTAGGAGGGGTAAACCATTATTAGTGTACACTGATTTCCTTTTGTTCCTTTTACAGCTGAAGAGTAATGTTGTGAGCCTGGACTGTCATATAAGTAAATATGCAGCCATATGTGAGGAACTACGGAAAGAGGCAAGTGTTTCATTCATGTTATTTGTGTGGCCTAATTTTTATTATGTTTGAAATAGTTCTGCATAGGCTCTGAATCCATGATTAGTTCCCTTATGTTGTAACAGTCTTTCCTTCAAAGATACTTTGGCTATAAAGTGCCTTTGGTGGACCTGGGGCCTTGCAAGGTGCTATATGAAGGCAAATTATTTCAATTAAATTGTTCCATATTGATGCTTCTCTGTCCAGGCCCACCTCTTTGAGCCTCTCAATGTAACTAAAATATTTTTAATGGTGAATTTAGATTGTGGTCCTTCTCTGTACCCTTTCCAATGCCTTAATATTACCCACCATGTAAGGAGACCAAATTAGAGACAACTTGAGGCCTAACCAAGATCTTGTACCAGAAAAGAAAATCAAATTCCTTCAAGACATTACTCTGTAAGTTAGAATTGTGCAAGATAGCATTGTAATCTGCTTCAGTAAACTAAGAATTAGCTGTTAAGTGTCAATGGATTCAAGATTCTGCTTCGGTTCAGATATTATTATTAGGATTCATTATCTTGAGTTGCTTACAAGTTAGATATTGGGTGAACAATCTGCAGGTTTTCAAATAATGGATGTTGCTGAACTGCTACCATCAAGTCTCAATGTGTTGTGTGAATGGGTCTATATAGATGGATAAAGTTGGGTGTTGTTCAGGTGGATCTATCCAATGCTGAATAGAAATATGTACATCATGGAACAGGGGAAAAGCAGTCTTGAAAGGAAAAAGATTGGGCTACTGTAGTCAATAACACTCTGAAAGTTCATGATCAGTGCCATGGAAGTATATTCAAAACAAACAAAGGATTTGTTGTGTTCACAGGATGATTCAGCACAAAACAAATTGTTCCATTTTTTGTGTAGAATTTGATACTGTATGATGTAACTGTGTATAATTTTCCATTCATCAATGGACTTCAGTTTCTCACTTCACTTTGTTTCCTCTACCCTCTCCTTTGCATTCCTGTACTCCGTCAAAGTTAGCATTTCTCAGCATGAGGCCATTTCTCAAGGGCTACTTTTTCATTCTTGCTAATTCATTAAGTACTTCAAATGCAGTCATTTACTAACAATGCCTTCTGTGTTTTTGTTGACATGTGAGGTATTTAGACTCGAACAAAACAAAGAATTAGAATTCATCAGTATATCCTCAATAATCATCAGCCCTCCAGAATTCATAACCTCAGAGTTCAGGTTTACTTGGCTCCCAGTTAACTGGGAATTCCTTTATTGACAGATTTAAAAACAGTTTGTTCCAGTTTGCAGCCTCCCTCCCTGTTCCTTTTTGCAGCTACTTGTTTCTCCCCTGACCACCTTTTTCCAGCCTCTTTCAATATTCACCTCTCCTTTGCAGACAGTCATCCCTCTTGCGTTTATAACCACTCCACCTCGAATCCTGCGCTACTCACATTGGAAGGCTCACCCCTCCAGACCACCCCAAACACCAGCCTAACCCTTTAGATCTTTAGTGTTCTCCCAAGCCTCAACTAGTCTCACCTAGCTCCCTCCAGCCAGGTGAATGATTTCACCACAACTCACTTGTATGCTGCTCCTTCAATCATAGCATCTTTCCCTCCACCATTTGATACTGATAGGTTCACAAGTGATGGTGGGACAGGATGGGAAGGGTGGTGACAGATGGCTCGGAGGGGGACTGGATGGCAGATACCGTTGTTGGGAGGGTGTTGAATGGCCTGGGATGGGATTTTAAAGTCTTGTTTCAGTGCAGATGTTAATTTCACTTGAATGTTTTTGTAGCTCTGTTAATTTAGCTTTAATGTAAAAAAAGTTTTTATTGCCTGCTGTTCTCTCCCTACTTTACAGGAAGCCTGCTGTAAAGAAAGGGGCATTCCCTAGCGTAAGCTTGCTTTAACTTTCTTTTCATCTGTCCTTTTCCCCCCATGTGATTCTTCCCTGTTTGCTGTGAAGATGTGTTCGTCCCTCTGCTGACACATCTGTTCTTCTCCTCATTGGCAGCTGGGCATTTCCACTGCTGTTTCCCACATATAAAGGTCTTGGTTCGGATTTATGTATTTGTACACTTCAGATATCTGTGATTTTTCTTAGTGTATCTTGTAATATGTTTATGGCGAGTAGTTCTGACCACCTTAGCGTAGGATGTGAAGGATTTATAGTACTGCATCCTGACTGTCCGAACACAGGTTATAATGGATTTACCGTGCTCTTTTCTAGTTGTCCTGCAACAGAAACTAATTGATTTACACTGTAGGGTTCTAACTTTCTTAGTACAAGCTGTAAAGTACGTTACGTACACAGATCCTATGTTGGATCTATTGTGTTTAGGCTGTATATCCTGGCTTTCTTGGAGAAAAATGTTGCTTAAGCTTGTGACAGACCTTTGTGAATGTCTCAATTGTTTCTATTTACTTATCTGGGAAAAACTATATAAAAATCTGTTCCATTTAACCTTTGGTCCAGAAAGAGGTATAGATTGAGTTGATGGTAGTCGTCTTTTCCCTAAGATAGGCAATTTCAATACTAGGGGACACATTTTTAAAGTGAAAGCAGAGAGGTTTTAAAAAGACATGAGGCACATTTTTTTTTACACAGAGGGTGGTTCGCGTGTGGAATGAGCTTTCTGATGAAGTGGAGGATGTGGGTGCAATTAGAATGTTTAAAAGTCATTTGGATGGATATATGAATAGGAAAGGTTTGGAGGGATATGGGCCACGAGTAGGCAGGTTGGACTAGTTTAGTTTGAGATTATGTTCGGCATGGACTGGTTGGACCGGAGGGTCTGTTTCCGTGCTGTATGTCTCTATGACTATGAATAGGTATAATTAACGTCCAGGCTTTAGGACTCTTCTGAGCGAGGTGTGTTTTCTGTCTCCTGTTAAAGGGACTTTATTATTTTTGCTGGTTAACTACACAACACTTAAATACTGCAGGTTAAATGTAATTGTCCTAAAGAGCTTGTAAGCTATAATAAAATATCTGCTCCTTAATTATTATGTGTATTCAGTCCTAATTATTGATTCCTTTTTATGGAACTTGTAGCATATAACTTGACTAGAAATTGTTTTTGCATTTATTGTGCACTAATTAGCAATAGATGCATCTAGAAATTTTGTACAAAATTAAGATTAAAAAAAAATGCTTGTGATAAATTATTTTTAAAATTGTAAACCGAGTTGATACAGATCTCGGACACTTTTACGTTAGCACCATCTTTTGCTACTAACTGCTGGAATGGTGCTGATTTGCTGTCCCGTGTTCTACACAGGCAACAGAAGAAAAACACTTTACAGTCTGCAAGATTGGGCCTCAGTGGGACTGCCTTTACCAGATAAATAGCAATTTTCTCTGCTGTAGAGAGATAGTAGGAACTGCAGATGCTGGAGAATCAGAGATAACAAGGTGTAGAGCTGGGTGAACACAGCAGGCCAAGCAGCATCAGAGGA